TTTATTTTTATTTCCACTGTCATCTTTTCTGAGGGCCAACAGAAGACACACACACCTCCTACATCAAGCGGCTCTAACCGAAACAAATGCACATCAGATGCATTTATTTGCACAGAAACTCATAAAAACTTTACTAGACACCAAATAATTACAGGAAGAGGTGACTCCCCAACTCCGCAGGCTGAAGAGTTTTGAAGTAGATTTAAGATAAAGATCAAATGGGACAGGCACTGGTCCCCTCTCACACCCCACCCCCTCTCCAACCATGGGTCCTTAGGAAGGAAACCAATGAACTCTCCAGTTTTGTGTATTTGTGTCCAATTCATATAAAATGTGTTTCTGTGAGTTATTCTTAGAGTCCTAATGGGGCTTTTATGGCCCCACACACAGTCCTCAACCCTCCCTTTGTTTTGGCTCAGATTCACAGTCAGGGAAGCCCCTGGTTCTAGATGGGCTAGAAATAACCTAGCCCATCTACTTGGCAAGAAATCCAAAGGTTCTTGGGGAAAGTGTCTGTTAAAAATAAATGTAACACTGGCCTGGGGATTTAGCTCAGTGGTTCCTGCGCCTGCCTTGCAAGTGCAAGGGCCCAAGTTTGAACCCCGGTACCAAAAAATAAAATAAATGTAAGTAACACCTGGAGAGTCTCACATCACGATTTGCATGTGATAAGCTGAATTCCCTAATTCTGCTGCCTTTCAAGGGTCTGACTGCAAATGGCTACTCTAGGACCCAGGTTCTGGGCAGGGCGCTGAAGGCTGAGCAGTCTGTGCTGGCACTGTTGGGGGTCTCCATGGCCTGCCTCTGAGCTTCACCGCCCTGAAGAAAGGGACATGGCTGAGCTCAAGACAAGTCTGTTTCTCCCAGGACCTAGCTGGAAGAAAGAGGCAGCTGCGAGCCTCCACATCCTACAGCAGGCCCCCCATCCAAGTATTCACCACATAGCTCTAGAGACCTGCCACATTCAGGCACCAACGCAATCTCTTCCATCTCGTCCTCTCCCCGACCCTGTGGGACAGATGGCCAGCCAGGCACCCATTTCATGGACAACGACATGGAGGTGCAGAGCTGCAGAGCTTTTTGGAAGTCCCAAAGCCACATGCTGAGCTAGATCTGGGGAAGTCCCTGAGATCTGCTTTTGATCCCCCTCCGACCCACTGCCTGGCCAGCGGGAGACTTCAGCCCTGTCCCACCCAGCCAGGCACTGTCCCTTTCTCAGCACTGGTCCTGTGGCAGATAGCAGCCCTTGAACCTGAAGAAGCACACTCTCCTGACACCTGCACTGAATCCCACAACCCAGACTTTGTGCTGAAAAGTCTTGGGTCTGTGGCCAGAGAGGTGCCTGCTGGGAGCTCACAGGGACTTGGCTGAGGCTTGCTTATACTCCACACATTGGACACAGGCACACACTAGCTCTCAGCCTCAGAGCCCACACTGACTCACCAGCAAATCCTTGTCACTCTGCCACCTCTCTCCCATCAGCCTACAAAACCCCAGAGGCAAGAGCAAGAACCAGCTCCCACACAATCAGAAAATGCCCAGCTGGGACCCTTCCCCAGTTACTCCTCACTGTGGATCTCCACCTGGGCTCTGGGGGCTCCCCATCACACGGGAAAACCACAGACACCCTCGGCTGCAGAAGTGACCTGTTGCTTTATAATTTGTCTGACCCCTGGACCCACACGTCCTGGGTCAAATGCAGCCAGGATCCATGGAGGGACTAGCAGTTGCTGCTAGCACTCCACTGCACCACGCCACACCTTGCCATCCTTCTGGAGTCTTTGTGGCTGTCCCCAGTACCCCAGCCCTGGGGCTGAGCCCCTGGAATAGTGGCTCCTAACCTGGCAGGGGATTTGAGGCAGCTCTGGTCCAGTGTGGTCTCCTCTGGAAGGTCTGAGGCTGGCCAGCGGCCATGGCCCCAGAAAGCTGCATGGCCCTTGTTCTCCCGCAGAGCAGAACAGCTGAGGCTCAAAGCTCCTGGTCCTACATCCTTCCCCGGGGCATCCAGTGCCCAGAACACTCTGCCCTTCACCCTAACAGCTCCTCAAACCTGCCCCAATCTGCATCTCCAGCCAAAGTTATGAACTAGGAGGGTATCCTCTGCTCTGGCCCTGCTCAGACAAGAAAAACTGTCTGGAGAGGGTCGGGGGTCGGCGGGGCTCCATGGGGAAGGAGGGCCCTGGCGCTAAGCTCTGAGGAGGGCATGGGAGACACGAGGCCCTAAGAAGAGCAAGGGGACACAGGGTAAGGCTCAGTGGAGTCGTGTTGCTCGCAGGACTCGGAAGACCCTAGAACCCTGTGCCAAAGTTTTCTTTCTCTTCTTGCTTCTTCCAAGCGGACTTAGCCTTTCCTCACCTGGAGATATTCCGGACCTGTTTCTGCCGCGGCCGCGGCCGAGCCAGAGTATCCCCGTCGGAAGGCTCGGGCGCAGCAGCCACCGGCATCGTGGCTCCCCAGCATTCTCAGCTCAGGTCTGGCCTGAGGAAGCCTGGGCACCTGTCCTCCCGTTCAGTCGCTTATTCTTCGACAGCGCCAGCAGTGAGGAGGTGCAGGATCTTTGATGGTGCCCCCAAAAGACCTCTGCATGGCTGTGTGCGAAGGACCCGGGACGCCAAGTCCGCTCGCTCTCTGGCTCGCTCACTCCCTCGCAGAACGGGGGACCCGAGCAGCAGGAACAAAGGGCTAGGAAGAGGGCCCGCGGCGAGTGGGGAGGAGGTGGGGAGTGATGGGGAGGCCTGCAGAGGAGACCGTGGCTGTGGCCCGAACATCCTCACCCGGTCCAGAGAAGGCCACCCGGCTCCACTGTTCCAGGGGCACCGCAACCCAGTCGCGGGGCCCGATGCTCCATTAGGCCGTCTCAAAGCAACCCTGTGGCTTGGACAGGAGCGCGGAGAAAGACACCAAGAATCTATGCACCCCAGGACACACCAGCGGGCGGCACGGAGCTGGGGCTGCCAGTGCGTTCTCCTGCGCCCAGACAGCCTGCAGGCGTCCCGGGTACACGCCGCTGGACACAATCCACGGCCCCGACTCGGGCCGGTACCCCAGTCCGAGGGTCAGAGGATCCTTGGGGGCCTGACCAAAGGGGCCTCCATTTAGCCTAGGGAGAAGAGGAAGAAAGGGTATGGAGAAGAAGGGGCCAGGCACGGGGAGGGTAGGGAGTGGGAGACAGGAGGAGCAGGATGGAACACTGCACCGGGGCCCGAGACTGGAGAGGATTTCCCTTAGGTCCTGAAGGAGAGGGCGAGGGTCTGTGCCTGGAACGACTCTCTCCTACAGGCGGTCGCCCAGCAGCGGCTGCAGGGACGCACCGCGGCCAGCAGAGGGCAGGAACCGCCCGGTCCACCCCGCGCTGGGTCGAGGTTCAGCGCCTCCCGACGCAGCGTGCAGGGGCCTTTCAAGCCTGGCTCCTTTCCGCAGCCGGGCGCCCCAGTCCGAATGCCCGCAGAAAACGGCCCAGGCCTTACCTCGAGGCTCAAGACCTGGGGTTTCCCAGGCTAGGCAAAAACAGGGTGGGTAGGGCTTGGGAAGAAAACTCCACATCCACTCACCCATCCTGGGCAATACAGGCACACAAAGGCACTGAACAATACAAGAAACACACACGCACACGCACAATGGGAGCCGCAAAATCATCCAGAAGCTGAGACAAGCAGACACACAAAGGTGACATGGAGACACACATACACAGAAAAATCTCCTGACACAATATAGGAGCTGAAATGCACACGAAGACACAGGCATTCGCCTAGAGTGACACAGACACAGGGACACATACAAAGATGTATGTACTAAATTACCTAAGACAGAGGCATGGAAAGATCTGCATGCACATGCAGAGGGATGCAGGGAAATCAGATACAGATTCCCAAATTCACACCCTCGGATCTCGGAAAGTCGCAGGGACATAAAAAATATTGTGTGTGCATAGAGACAAGGATGCACGCGTTCTCCTGGGCCCCGGAGGCGGGGGCGCCGACACGCACAGACACACAGAGATACCCACCGACACCCTCGCAGGTACTAGGGTAGGGCGGGAGCCTCTAATCCTCCACAAAGCTGGGCCCCTCCGCGGGGCCCCAAAACACAGGGGGCCACTTCTGACCAAGCCTCCCGCAGGCTCCAAATCCGATCCGCCCTCTAGCCTCCGGCGGGGTCAGGGGACCCGCCCCCATGCCCTCCGCCCTCGCCCCG